AGAGAGAGAGAGAGAGAGAGGAGAGAGAGAGAGAGAGGAGGTTGTATTACCGTACAACCTCCCTGGAAGCATGTAGGGCTCGGATCTGCCTTGTATTCCCTTTCGTAATACGTCCCGTGATAGTCATTGTCGACGTATTATCCGATTACAGGCGGAAAAAGAGCGCGATGTCTCGTTAATACTTCGATTTAATAACGATAAAAGTAATTTTAAGCTTTTTTACAATTACGTAAACGTAATGGATGCATTTGTATTCGCAAATATTAAATTAAATACGAATACTGCCATTTTTTTTATCCTTTTTGTATACAATGTTTTATTGTATAACTCACATATGCGCGTGTTTACCGTAAAAGGTTTATGCCGTATATTACGGTGAGTCAATTAGCTTTCCCGCCTTATTTATATTTATCTATGGAAAGATATAAGTTTAAAATATTTTAAAACAAATGATTGTGCCCTCCTTTTTTTCTTTTCTTCGGAGGTCATGTGAATACGTCATATTTTTTTCTTTCAACGTCAGAATTCGTTTGAATATGCTTGTCTACTTCCGCGTACATACATGCGATAATTTTATTCTTAGCGACACATGTCAAAAAGAATGCGGAACATATTGAACATTTTGTGAAATCATTAATTATTCTCATTATACGCAGAATGTATTTGACAGGGTGCTGCGCAAGTGGCGAAACAGGCACGTGCTATTATTCATTGTCAATGCGTAACAAATAGATCGTTATTCAGCGGCGCAGTATAAATGTCGCTAGTGACTGCAGTGCAAGCATTAACAGTGCAAGCAGTGGCAACGTAAGATTACAACATGAGAATAGCAATTGTGTGCTTGATCTTGGTGGTCGTGATGAGCGCCATGATCCAGGGATCCGTAAGTCTTAACTCCAAATGTGGTCATTTATCAATAAATTTCTAAAAAATAATAATCTGCTATTCTGCGAAGGACGCTTTTTTGGGTGGGGATATCGCCGGGGTGGACGCCACCGCGGTTGCCATAGGAGAAGCACTACAACAACAACAACGACAACAACAACGGCGGCAACAACAACAACAACAGCTCCTGCTGGTAGAAAGAGGCGTGAGATCATGGATTCTCCTCTTGTGCCAGCAATCGAAGTCTAACAAATGTGGAAACATTGAAAAGTCCAATTACAACGAAAGTAAACAATGTCGGAATATTAAATTTTCACTTGAAAGTATGATTATAACTGCACTACTATGTAATATAAAGCATAATATATAATAGTTTAGGAATGGTTTTTGGAACGAATAGTAATAAAGATATATCAACGCTTATATATGGATAAATATGATTTCTAAAACTTTTTAAAAAAGAACCTAATTGCAAATATCCAGTACAATTTTCATTATATAGATATACTTATAAAAAATTTTTCACGACATATAGGAAAAGGCATATTACAACTTATGTTTTTTTCTTTTTTTTTTTAAGTATCAAATCAATATGATTTTTCACATCAGCTTTTTCTAGCATTTGTTAATTTATTCACAACATTTTATAAAAATTGCACAAAGTATCATGATTACTTCATATATCATTAGTTCAAAAAGAGTCGTGATCGATACGATATATATGTGCGAAATGTATAGGAATGTAAAAAGAACTTTCGTCGCTTTTCTTTATCGTGCCCGTGGGTCCTTCGTCAAAAATGCTGGATTTGCGACGATGACGTTCTCGAAAGGTGGCGAAAATCGGTAGAAGATATGCCGGGAAAGCGGCAAGGGAAAAAAGTCGCTCGAGCGCACATCTCCACTTCGCGTTGGCGGTTTTCGCTAGGCTAGAAATTTATTTTTCCACGAAGTGTCGTCACAGAGGGCTGCCGCGCCTCCAGCTGCTGGATGCGATATTCCACGTCGCGTTATGCACATGCACGAATATTTCCATACATAAATTTCATAGAGGTGAAAGTAGATGCGTGCCTGGTTGCGTATTGCCGACGATCATAACGCTTGGAAATGTTAACAGAAGACTACTTGGATTATCCGTAGTATTCCACGTGGCGCATTATTCCACTTATGCGATAAAATTTCGAGTAAATATAGATGTGGAGCCAGGTAGAATTTTCCACTGTTACCATTGTACCATTAAAACGGAACAGCGTTATCAGCGTTATCTGCAATGGTCTCGAAAAGCGCTTTTATAACGCTTTTTAAATCAGCTTGATTCCACTTTGCCAAATTTTTTTTTTTTTTTATTAAGCGCGGTGCTTAAAAGTGCGAAAAAAAGTTTTAATACGGCAAAAGCTGGCAGCCGCTGGTCACGTCAGCTCGGTGGCGTAACCTAATTTTCAGCGATTAAATGCAACGAGCGCGATAATGCTTGTAAATTGAGCGAATTATGCCACCGGTGCTGACGCCCGACGTAGCCTCGTCTGATTAACATGCACGTTACGCCGGATAATGCCGTTCGACCTGACATTTGCATTGGTACGCGTCGAACGGCCTAGAGATTTTAACATGTGAGCCCACGAATAGACGTAATGTAACGTAAAGCAGGTAAACTCCTCGACGCTTGTGATAATTACATTAACCTTTGATACAAAGTGGATAAGATAATCTTTTCGTCTTCTGAACGAATTTAATATTCGCATTTTCCCGCGAGAAAATAAGCGATATCATCGAAGGATCGTTTTGGAGAGAAATCAAACGTTTATTTATTGCGAATGTTCCATGTAGTGGTTTCCATCCGTCTCTGACGTTATACGAGCAGAATCTTTGAGGGGGCGAGTGGAAGTAGCGGCGGAAATATTTTTTGACGTCGACAGATTGTTAGTTCACGCAGTTCAAGCAGTCGTTCTGTTACCAATTTCCTGCGCGTTACCGACTATAGAGACCCCGGCCAGGTGAAATCGTGGCTACCTTCTGCTTTACGGCAGAACGAGAAAAGAAACGCTCCTACCTAAGCAACGTAGAAACTTCTGCTCACGACAGCTACAGCTTTTCATTCTTCCGCTTCATTCAGCTCGTATTCCACGATCTCTCTCTCTCTCTCTCTCTCTCTCTTTCTCTCTTTCTCTCTCGCTCGCTCGAGTCAACCAGTGTAATAGTCAAGATTTACCATCCGTGTGCGACGTTTCCACTGTTGCGTATCGAATGCGGAGAGCCGGCAGCCTCGCACCCAACCCTTTCGTTTTGGCCCACGAGTGTGAATCCTCGAAATGCGTGGGATGGAAAGGATAGGGGACGGAGGCATGGAGGTAGTTGGAAGCAGGTTGGAAAGCGCCGATTCGAAAAGGCGGATAGACGAGGGAGGAACGCTGGCGCGGATCGGCAGAGGTCGGACACCACGTAAATTGCATACCCGATTGCGGTCTACTGAAGAGTAACGTCCTCCACCCCAACCATTCCCCCTGTTCCCTCCTCAACCCCGATGCCCCGCGACCCCAAACTGGATCTAACAAGCCAGCGACCGCAGGCTAGGTTCGGCCTGCAACAGGGTCGCCACCTCTGGGGACCGCCGGCGGCTACAGCCGGTGAACTGTCCCCTGTGTGTCCTGACTGCAAACCCCCCCCTCAGTGAAAATCTTCATGCCATCCGCCCACTCGTCCTAACAAGCCCGCTTACGTCCACTCGTAAACCACCACGATGCACGCAAGAAACATTTTCCTTTGTAACGTTCGACGCTGATGGCATGCGGATCGAAGATCGATAAGGGATAACTAGCTCAAGTCGAGCGAGAATCTACATCTCGTATTTAAATTACGAACATATAATATTAATAAACTATTGTTACGAATGTAATTGCGACGACTGTCGTGACGGTATAATCGTAGTCTTTGTCACGATCAGAATATAACGAGCCATGCCATATCGCGTAATGATGTCACTGCATTAGACAGAAGGGGATGCCACCCGCTGATTTGAAGAATACGATCAGCACGACTCGCGCTCTAACTAGAATTTCTTACAGGCACAGAATAAAGGACATTCATGGAATAACAAGCTTCGCACGTTGTCGAGTACAAATGATATTCTCAAGATATAAAGTTAAATAAACTCGAGTAATTATCGCACGAAAACGGTTAATTGCGGATAAGTCTTTGTTGGTTTCAATTGAAAAGTCTATCATTGTCAAAACTGTCGACGCCATAAATTTTCATTATTTCTTTTCTTTATGCCTTATATCAATGTATTTTATATGTTGAATAGTATTAAATATTTTAAAAATATTTTTAGAAACTCAAGAATATTTGTATAAATCTCATAAATATTTTTGATTACTTGAGAACGAACTTCGCACTTTTGCAGCTCTTTGAGAGAGTTTTCCGTGAACTCAATTCTTTAATATGTATTCTATCGCGACATATCAGGTGAGAATGGCCAAGTGGCGCGTTGCGAACTTTAAACGACACCGTTAACGCAAAACGGTAGGCTTCTCTCTATGATTTTTTGAATAGCTCTTGGCACGTTAGAACGGACGTTATAGCCATAAGTTTGGCATGCAATAGAAAAGGAAGTGAGAGTCTGAATAAAGCATAGCACCATTTCGCGAAAGCCTTCGCAAACTTTTGATGGGGGACATTAGAAAACTTTCAACGATCCGGATCTGCTCGAGGGAGTATTCCATTGGATAAAACCAATAATACCAAGTCAAATGCTAATATATCTAATCAAAATAAATCTAGACGGATATCGCATTCGTCGTATCGGCATTAGACTTAAGACGTAGCGAACAAACTCCGACCGATACGTCCTCCCCGCGGATAAATCCGATTCGTCCTAAGCCAAGCCGTGGCAATCGCAGGCATCTATCCAGATGAAACACTGGCAACCGACATAGGATAGTCATCTACTGCGGTACTTTGCGCGCGGGGTGACTCTGAGTTTCGGATATCGAAGAAGGAGACACTGAAGATGGAAGCCAAGAGGAGGAGAAGGAGGAGGAGGAGGAGGAGGAGGAGGAGGTGAGAGTTTGTGCTTGGAGGTAAGAGGCTGAAGAGCCCATCTGGCTTCCAATCAGAGCGTTGCCACCAGCACATGTGTTCACGGCACGTTGGAGGTGGCGGCTCAATCAACGAGGGTGCATCCCTCTCCGACCTCCTTCGTCACCCCTTATTCTGGCAACTTTATATCACATAATCGAGCCTTGAAGCCGCCGCTCCATACCTCGTTTACCCCTACTGCCGACTCTTCGGCTCGTCTCACCTCATCCCCATCGTTCTTTCTTCGTTTCTTTCGACGGGGCCCCATCCTTTCGTCCTTCAGACCAACAGCTCTCGGGCTCTTTGGCTCTCCTCCCGTCTCTGCGTTTACGAGCTTTCAT